TTTCTCCTAGGATAAATCTTTAAGCCAAATTTTAAAAACAAACAAACAAAATCAGTTTTATCATCTATTGTTGTTGTTGTTAGGTGCCATCAAGTCATCTCTGACTCATAGCGACCCCAGGCACAGCAGAATGAAACCCTGCCCGGTCCTATGCCAGCACACGATCCTTGCTATGCCTGAGCCCATCGTTGCAGCCACTGTGTCCATCCATCTCGTTGAGGGCCTCACCCCTCTTCATTGACCCTCCACTTTACCAAGCATGAGATCCTTCTCCAGGGAATGCCTCCTTCTGACAACATGACCAAAGCAGGTGAGACGAAGTCTGGCCATTCTCACTTCCAAAGAAGTCTGACTGCACTTCCTCCAGGAGAGATTTGTTAGTCCTTTTAGAAGTCCATGGTACTCTTAGCATTCTTCTCCAACACTACAATTCAAAAGGATCAACTGTTCTTCGGTCTGCCTTATTCATTGTCCAGCTCTCACATGCACAAGAGGCAATTGACGAGACCATGGCTTGGGTTAGAGGCACCTTCGTCTTCAAGGAGACGTTTTTGCTTTTCGCTTGAAAGAGTCCTTTGCAGTAGATCTGCACAATGCCAGTAAGTCGTCTGATGTCTTGACTGCTACTTCTATTGGTGTCGCAGAGCCAAGTAATACGAAATCCCTGACAACTTCAATCTTTTCTCCATCCATCGTGAAACTGTTTATTGCACCAGTTGTGAGGATTTTTGTTTTCTTTACATTGAGGGATAATCCACACTGCAGACTATAGCCTTTAATCTTCATCAGTAAGTGCTTCAAGTCATCCTCACTTTCAGCAAGCAAAGTTGTGTCATCTGCATATTGCAGGTTGTTAATGAGTCTTCCTCCAATCCTGATACCACGTTCTTCTTCATGTAATCCAGCTTCTTATTATTTGCTCAGCATACAAGCTGATAATTTCCACATTCTGTGGGATCACTTTTCTTTGGAATGGCTACAAATATGGATCCCTTCCAGTCAGTTGGCCAGGCAGCTGTCTTCCAAATCTCTTGGCATAACTGAGTGAGTGCTTTCAGTGGGGCATCCATTTGTTGAAATATCTCAGTGGGTATTCCGTCAATTCCTGTAGCCTTTTTCTTTGCCAATTCCTTCAGTGCCAATACCTTCTTCCTTCAATACTATTGGTTTGGGATCATATGCTACCTCCTGAAATGGATGAAAATCGACCAATTCTTTTTGGTAGAGTGACTCTAGTAGCATAGCGCCTAAAGCACTTGACTGCTAACCAGGAGGCTGGTGGTTCAAACCCACCAGCAACTCCTTGGAAGGAAGGTTGGGCAATCTACTTCCGTAGTAATAGTGCCTCAGAAACCCAAGGAGGGGTCGCTGTGAGTCGGGTGCAACTCGACAGCACATAACAACAACAACAACAGTGACTCTGTGTATTCCTTCCATCTTCTTTTGAGGTTTCCTGTATCATTCAATATTTTGCCCACAGGATCTTTCAATATTGCAACTAGAGGCTTAAATTTTTTCTTCAGTTCTTTCAGCTTGAGAAATGCCGAGCATGTTCTTCCTTTTTTTCTCTAACTCCAGGTTTTTGCACATTTCATCATAGTAACTGGCTTTGTCTGCTCGAACTGCTCTTTGAAATCTTCTGTTCAGCTCTTTTATCTTGTCATTTATTCGATTTGCTTCAGCTACTCTAAGTTTCAGAGTCTCTTTTAACATCCATTTTAGTCTCTTTTTCCTTTCTTGACTTTTTAATGACCTCTTGCTTTCCCCATGGATGACGTTCTTGATGTCATCCCACAATTCCTCTTGTTTTCGGTCACTGGTGTCCAATGCATCAAATCTATTCTTTAAATGGTCTCTAAATTCGGGAGGGATATAATCAAGGTCGTATTTTGGCTCTCGTGGACTTGTTTTAATTGTCTGCAACTTCAACTTAACTTGCATATGAGCAGTTGATGGTCTGTTCCACAATCAGTCCCTGGACTTGTTTTGGCCAATGATACTGAACTTCTCCATCACCTCTTGCCATAGATGTAGTCAATCTGATTCATGTGCATTCCATCTGGTGAAGTCTACGTGTATAGTTGTCGCTTATGTTGTTGAATAAAGGTATTTGCAATGAATAAGTCATTGGTCTTGCAAAATTCTATCATGTGATCTCCAGAGTTATTACTATCACCAAGGCCATATTTTCCAACTACCAGTAACTCTTCTTTGTTTCCAACTTTTGCATTCCAGTCACCAGCGCTAATCAACACATCTTGATTGCATGTTCAATTTCAGACTGCAGAAGTTGGTAGAAATCTTCAATATCCTCATCTTCGGCTTTGGTGGTTGGTGCCTAAATTTGGATAATAGTAGTATTAACTCGTGTTCGTTGTAGGCACATGAATATTAAACTATCACTAACAGAGTTGTACTTCAGAACAGATCTTGAAACAGTCTTTGTGGTGATGAATCCCACACCATTCCTCTTTGTCATTCCTGGCATAGTAGATCATATGGTTGTCTTACTCAAAATGGCCAAAACCAGTCCATTTCAGCTCACTAATGCCTCGGATATCAATCTTTATGCATTCCATTCCATTTTTGACAACTTCCAGTTTTCCTAGATTCGTACTTCGTACATTCCATGTTCCAATTATTAATGGATGTTTGCAGCTGTTTCTGCTCATTCTGAGTTGTGCCACATCATCCAATGGAGGTCCCAAAAGGTTTACTCTATCCATATTGTCAAGGTCCTCTGTACTCTGAGGAGTCAGCTCTTCCCCAGTCAAATCTGGAATGCCTTCTGACCTGATGATCTCATCTTCCAGCACCATGTCAGACAATGTTTCAGGGCTGTTCATAAAGGTTTCCGTTAATGTATCAGACAGTGTTCAACTGCTATTCATAAGGTTTCCACTGGCCAATCCTTTGAGAAGTGGATGGCCTTTCCTTCTTCCAAGTCTGTCCTAGCCCGGAAGCTCCACTGAAACCTCTCCACCAGGGGGGACCCTGCTGGCATTTTGCAACACAGTGGCATAGCCTCCAGCCTCACAGCAACACTTAAGCCATCACAGGACGACAAACTGACAGACAAGTTCGTCTCCCTTAGTTGTTCCTAACCCCCTGCACCTGTCTACCTCAGACCCCAGCCTAAATATAGAGCCACACCCAAGCCAAAAGCCTCCAAGCCCTCGTCTATACTACTTTTGAATATTCTAATAAGCAGTAAAGCAATCCACTAGCCAGTAACAGGGAAACAAGACGAGAAGCAAGCCACCACCTGAATGACACATTTTTCTGAGCCCTACATCTCCACAGAGGACCTACCATAAAGCTACATGTATCAAAGGTACTAAAAAAAAGCTTCACCTGATCAACAAAGTAAATGTACTTCGATAACCCTCTTATATTTATACTGAAAGTCAGATACGTACAATGGGAACAGGGAAGCTACTGAATTACATGCAATCCAACATTCATTTTTCCTGAGTGGAAGCATCTAAAATCACTGTGGGTCACTCAAATGTAAAGCGCCCCCTAAAAGCATTTTGTTGCATTACTTACATATTTAAAGGAACTGAAACTCACCCAAAGAAAAAGAAAGGTTTTGGGCCACTCCTCCCTAACTCTTCTTCCCATTCCAATTGCACTTTTGCAGAACCTCCTCTACAACCAAGGAAGACTGCCCAGATGGGCATTCAGCAGGCCACACCCTGCTGTGCACTTCCGGAGGCGTGGCGCTCCCTCCAGCCCTGGGCCGCCCACCGCAGTATAATGTGCCCTTCCTGTTAACCACCTGTTCTGGATACCTAGTACTGCTCTGACAAGAAATTACCACCAATGGGATGGCCTTAACAAACAGGAGTTTATTCTTACAATTGGGAGGCTTTAAGTCCAAGTTCAAAGTGCCAGGCTCTAGGGGCTGCATGAAAGCCCCTCAATCTTGGGGTCCAGCTCTGTCTCTTGCTCCCGGCCCACTGGAGCTAGAGGAATTTCTTCACTCAAACAGCTGCTGGCTGCTGAGGCTAAGATGCCCCAAGGTTGACAAGGAGAAAGGCACAGTCCCAATATTACCAAACCACACAGCAGGCCATTAACTTAAGTCCATTGTAAGTCCCAAGGTTGGCAGAGCATAGCAGGCTGCTGAGCAACGACACGGCTACATCCAGGGTCCAAGCGTGCCATAGGCTAGAGACCATTCTCAAAACTTCTCCTTATGTACAGGAAGCAGACCACATACCCAAAGGCAGCTACTCAGCTGCTCACAGTAGATTCCACCATGGAGTTGAATACCAGTCTTGTCATGGGGAATACTACATTTCAGCTGTCCACCCACTCAACCAGGCCTAGCCAAATTGACACACAAACATAACCACCACACTACCTCTCTGGCTGCTGTGAGCTCAGTGGGTCATCATCTGTAAAAGCTGCTGGAACAGAGCCCAGCACAGTGCAGTGCTGTAACATTTGGTGTTAAATTAAAACACGAACCTCAGTTCACCTTGGCAATCTCAGCCAAGAGTCATGCAGGCAAAGTTCACGTTTAGGATGGGGCAACTGAGCCCAGAGCGTGCTCACAGGGCCGTGGCACAGAGGTATGGATGGCCAATGTCAAGTGAGCCACCCACTCATGTGAATTTTCTACCCATTCCTCTCCCCTCCAGGCACCACTGGATCTAGGAGATCTACCAGATCCCAGTCACATTCCAAGGGGACCAAAAGGCACAATGGGAATCCAGATGTCCTGGTACACACAGGCCAGACCAGCTGTGTTCCTTCAGCTCAGAGGAACACAAGTGGTGTCACAAAGCCACAGTTTTCTGCTCTCTGCTGTGCAAAATATTGCCACAAAGGAAAATGGACTCTGCTCAAACGGAGGGTAACCTCAAACACCCTGGGGTTCTCCCAGGTGCCTGCAAGCACTGCCTGCACGCTGAGTGCTGTGGGAGAAGCAGCACACGTGAGGGACACTGTGACTGCAGGCAGAAGGCAGTTCAAGACGCAGTGTGACTGACCCGATATCGTGAGGGTGATCTCCTGCGGGGACCCCGAGGACGACGTGGTAGAGGAGCTGGCCGCCTGAGCCAAAACCTGGCTCAGGCTGGAGTTGTTAATGGTCAAGGTAATCTCATGAGGACCGCTGGATGTGGACACGAGCCCCTGAGAGGTCATCACCTGAGAGAGGTCCTGGGTCCCTGGTCATAAGCAGAAGCAAAACAAAGGCGGGCTTGAAGAGGGGAGCTTCCTCCTGTCCTTGTCAACAGTACTTGAGTTCAGCCATCAGACAAGGAGAGAATAAATTCAGTGCACAGCAGAGAACGAGAAAGGGACAGAGACTAAGATACCCGCCTCCTGCCCCCCACCTCCCCAGTCTGAGAGGTTAGAGCCTGATGATCCAGCCCATATGAAGGGTGAGTATGTGAAGGGCTGGCCCATATGCACATGTGGACTGCGTGTCACTTCTCAGGACACTGCATTGACCTGCTGAGCTTTGTAAAGAGAAGGAAATGGCCTCATCCCGTCTTACAGCCAAACATTTGACTAAGAAGCAGGAAACTGAAATGCCAGCAGTCATAGCAAAGGAGTGCGTGGGCCTCACCACTGCTGCTGGTGGTCAGCACGGAGTCTTGTTCGGACAGCGGGCTGATGGTCAGGTTCGCCGACGTCACCGAGGGCTGCAGGGACAGGCCCGAGATGGGCTGGATGACCACGCTGGCTGGGACGGCACTGTCTGAGGTCTGGAGTGGGCCACTTTGTGGGGCCAGGCCAGGATCCCCTGTCAGCTGCTGGGCAAGCACGTTACCCTGCTGCAAAGTCTGCTGCAGGAGACTCGGGTCGATCTGCAAAGCAGGTGGACATGCAGTGAAACATCCTGTTTGCGACATGAGCTCAGTCGAGACAGGGAGCGCGAGGCAGATGGCGTACCTGTAAGGTGATGTTGTTAATGCTGGAGGCGTCGACCCCAGAGATCTGGACGTTCGGCCCGACCAAGTGGGCAGCCAGCTGCAGCTGTATGCCCTCAAGGGTGGCCAGACCCCCGTCTGCCAACGACACGGTCAAGTCCCCACCAGCTGGCCACAGAAAACGAAAAGCAGAGACAGAGCTCTTCAATCCAAGAGTCAGTTCATTCTCAGGGACAGCGTTTCAGTATGTCCTTCTCAGCCCATCAATACCATGCAGTGATGATCACTGGCTTCCACATCACGCTCCCCACATGCACTGCCCACTTCCATCGTGAAACCCACCCTTGGACACTGAAAATACCACCGTCCATTTCACACGTTATCAGAGAAGCTGGCCTACAGACATTAAATGGACCAGCTCAAGGTTTAAAGCAACAAGTAGCAGCGAATCCTTGCCCCATGCCCCAGGCACTTCACTGGGAGGAAAACCCCGTGGGTCCCTAGGTCTGATCCAGCACGGACACAGGGAAGGAACAGGCCGGGGCAGCGCTCCCTTCAGAGGACGTGAGCCAGGCCAGTCCGCAGCAGCAGCACAGAGGCAACCAGCAGGGAGTCGCCCTGCAGGCCAACGGTGAGGACCAGCGGGGAGCCGGCTTCACAGGGTAGTGTCACCCTCGAAGGGTCCTCCGCAAGGGAAGAAGGCCACCCAGGATGTCTGAGAGCTACCAGACAGCTTCTACGATTGTCCGTAAAAACGCCAAACACTCAACTAGCAAAAACATAAGGCTCTCCAGCCACTGTGTGTCCCGAGGGCAGAGAGCAGACCAGGCTTTATCAACAGGGGGTTTCTTCGTAAATCCCACAGCTCACGCTCAGTTTGTGAAAATGGCTCCAGAACATGGCTTCAATCCAACCCCAGAAGGCAGACCCAGGCTCGTGTGAGCCGACACCACGGGCCGAGGAAGGCCAGTGGAGGAAGACGTCTGCCCGGCTGTCCTCTGGGAGGGCCGAAACCCCACAGAAGCACCGCGGGCGGCGCCAGCCCCTCACTCACCAGACACGGAGGCGGGGAGAATGGCCTGGCCCACAAGTCCCTGCTGAAGCAGGTTCTGCTCCAACTGGCCCGCGAGGACGGAGCTGTTCATGATGAACACGCCGGGGTCGGCGGAGGAGGGGCTGAGCAGGCTCCCGGCGGGCAGGCCCTCGGGGGAGCCCCGCGCCGCCGCCCGCCGCGCCCTCCGAGGGTCTGGCTTGTAGTGCAGCTGCAGGTGCGTCTTCCTGCGCCCCGAGGTGCGGAAGCGCAGCTCGCAGTGCGGGCACTTGAAGGGCTTGGCGCCTGTGTGCAAACGCATGTGCACCTTCAGGCTGCCCTTGGTGGAGAAGGCGTTGCTGCACACGTGGCAGCTGAAGAGCTTCTGACCTGCGGAAGGAGACGGGCTCAGGCGCTGCGCCGGGCGGCGCCCTGCGTGCGCGGAGCCCTGCGTGCGCGGAGCCCTGCGTGCGCGGAGCCCTGCGTGCGCGGAGCCCTGCGTGCGCGGAGCCCTGCGTGCGCGGCCACGAGGACCGACGCCTCAGTGCGCCTGCGAGGCCGAGAACGCCTCCCAGCTGGGGGCTGACCCGCGCGTGGGAGAGCACGGCGCCCTGCTTCAGCTTTCACAACACCTGCGTGTTTGCACTTGTAACCGTACTGAACCCTGACTGGTTCTGGGTGGACACTGACCCGCTCACAGAGAGCTGGGCATTCCCGCCGCTGGTCAGTGTGAAGTTTCCCCAAGGTCAGGTTAGCGTTTCAGCAGCGCTATGCTGCCCCTGCCAAAGGAGGGCGCTCAAGCGTACGCCCGCACAGAGGGCGGTGTGTCAAGTGAAACGGGGTCAGGAGCAGGGCACGAGTCTACCTCAGCACCAGGTCCGCAGGCACTCGGTTCCTGGAAGGATCACAGGTCTAGGAACGGCCACACAGTCCCAACTTCCCCATGCCCAGTGCCACCAACCCACACACAGCTTTGAGGAGTCTCCAGAAGTAGATAAAGGTCCTGGTTTCCACTTCCCTCTATGGAACCTTTGCAGAACAATGGCTGACAGTGTCCTCATGATGCCAGGCAGGGCCGGTGAAGCCACTGTCCTCATGGGTCACTGGACCCTCCAAGCAGAGACACAGCCTCACAGGTCTTTCCAGGGATACCTTCCGGTCTATTCCACACTCCTGTGAGCCTAGCCCAGGCTCCAACCCCAGCAGACAAAGTTAGTATTCAAATTAACTTTTCACTAAGATTATCCTCTCTACTGCCCACTCTGTGGTCACACCTACATTCCAAGAACTGCCAGAACTAACCAATCTGTCCTGGAACAAGTGCGGCCGGCCTGGTCCTCAGAATCGAGAATGGCCAGACCTCATCTCACCTACTTTGGTCATGTTGTCAGAGGGAAGCAGTCCCTGGAGAAGGGTAACTGGGAGGAAAACCCCGTGGGTCCCTAGGTCTGATCCAGCACAGACCACAGGGAAGGCACAGGCTGGGGCACAGGCTTGGTTCAAGTAGAGGGTCAATGGAGAGAAGACCCTCAGTGAGACCGACTGACACAGTGGCTGCTATGACGGGCTCAGGCACCGCAAGGACTGTGAGGCTGACGCAGGGCCAGGCCGTGTTTGGTTGCACTGTGCACAGGGCTGCTGTGAGTCAGCCTCAATGGCAGCTGTGGAGCACCATGCTCGGCAGACGGGGCTGCCCCAGGCTCCGATCCCAGCAGACACGGAAGTTTGGTGTGCTGAGCACAGCTAGTGCCCACCTTCCTTGGCACCCGCCGGGTCAGACATCCCTGCAGACCCTGGGGACACAAAGGTAAAGGAGGCCTGACCCTTCACTTTTCGTGGCAACGTGAGGGAGCCACGCAGGAGCCTAATGAGGCAGCCAGAGCAAATGACATAACAGAGCCCCAGGACAACCCTGGGGTGAATGCTTGTTTAGTTTGAGTACTAACTCATCAGGAAAGAACAACGGGGCTTCACACGAATGGGTCAAATCCAGCTGTACTCTTCAGTTCAACTCTGCTTGTGACCAAAAAGGGAGACCATCAACTGAATTATTGTCCTAATCACTGAAATCCTGACAACAGCAAGGCTAATGTCCTGACAGTCTGTAAGTGACTTCAACGTCCTAATGCATTGAAACTCCTGCTGAGGAGGTACTGTTCTCAGCCCAGGTTTACACATGAAGAAATGGAGGCTCACAGAAGGAAGCTGCCCGAGAGCAGGCAGTTTAGAAGGAGAGTTGGGAGGACATAGATGCAGGCCGAGGTCCAGGGCCTGCACCCTTCGCCATGCAGCCACACTGTGCAGGATTCAAGAGGCAGGTCCTGCTCTACCCAGTGTCGTTACCCTTGGGCTCCTCCAATTAGAGGAAGAAGAGCACAACGCCATGTGTTCCTTCCTCTCTGTGTAAGATAAACTAACTAAGGTCACTTCCCAATTCCTGTGATTGGAGTGGCTAAGCCCTGATACAAACCTCAACACAGGGATTCCCTCTGGTCTGTATGAGGCTAAGAGGCACCTTCTTAACAAAAGTATTACATGTCAGTATGAAAATGAGACAACCTAGAACCCAACGATGAGAACTAATCACTTTCCTAGCCATCACATAGACCATCCACCCTGCCAAGAGTCAAAGGCCATTTCTTTGTGGTTGCAAATTTGGATATATTCTGTCATGTGGAAGTGTTTATGTCTGTATGACAGGAACCAAGATAGGCAAAGTCTGTCAGTCTTCCCATAGCACCCCTGCTGAGGGGAGTGCCTGCTGCTCACCCGTGTGGGTCTTCACATAGCACCCCTGCTGAGGGGAGGGGCTGCTGCTCACCTGTGTGGGTCTTCACGTGGCAGTCAAGTGTGGACTTCACCGTGAAGCTCTTTCCACATTCATCACACTTGTATGGCTTTTCTCCGGTGTGGATTCGAACATGCCTAGCCAAAAAGCATTGGAGTTTCAGAACTTTCTTGTCCCATGCAGGAGCACTCATAACAACTGCGTAGCCTGTCACTGGACTGGGAGCGTCCCCAGGAGCGGGACTTGCAATGCCCACACCTAGGCTCACCATGTCGGTCCCTGGGCTCCTGACAGAGACCAGTGGGCCAACGGGGAGGTGCACCTGACCTGTGAGCACACGCAGCTCAGCACCACATTACGTTCCACAAACCACTCACACATTTTCAGTTGTGCTGTGTATGTGTGTGTTTTGTAACTGCCACCACCATCGCATAGAAATAGCACAAGCAATGCACCAGGAAAACATGCATAATTCACATGCTATAGGAACTCAAACAACAGCGTCTGGAATTACACGGCTTTACACAGCTGCCCTCGTCAGATGCCTCTGGGCTGACACCGCCTCACGGCACCCCCATGTGTGCAGAACGCTGCTCCCTGGGGTTTCCAGGGCTGGGACCTTTAGAAAGCAGATCTCTAGGCCTGTCTTCCCAGTAGCCTCTGATTGGGTTCAAACCACCAACCTTTGGGCTGGTTGAGCACTGAACTGTTTCCCCACCCAGGGACTCCTGTTTAAAACCAACCATCCACATCAACGCTCAGCCACCTGCATGGCCTGTGGGTCAGACGCTACTGCGGGCACTCAGTTCCTCAGGACGGTGAGAACCACCAAGGGAGCACACACGTGTCCCCCAGTGGCCCGTCCTGGCCCTGAGCCCTGGTGGCACCTCTCACCTAACCAGATCGCTGGGCTTCTTAAAGCTTTTGGGGCAGTGGGGGCAGCAGTTGGCGTATTTAGGCTCTGCTTCAAGCTCAGCCTGCTTGTCCTTCATTTCACTGATGCGGTCCTTCTCTGCGGCCGACTGGACGAGAACCTTTTCCGAGACAGTGGCGCTCTCCCTCGGCCGAATTTTGGCTAATTGAGCCGTTTCTTCCTCTGTGAAGGTGATGACCTCGGGCCGAGATTTTCTGGATGCGCCCCTCTCAGGACATTCCTCCTCTTCCTCCACGAACACCTCTAGACAGAACACACCATGCCGGGTAAGTTCCAATTCTACAGGAAGTAGGACACACTAACAAAACTCCTCATTCCTGGCATACCCCTAAATGAAACAACCAACCTTCAAATAAAGATACTGATTCTAAGTGAAACAAGTTAATAGCGTGATTATACTGAAACACAGGACAACCAAAACCAAACCTCCTGACATCGAGTCAATTCTGATTCTCAGTGACTCTACAGGAGAGAGTGGAACTGCCCCGTAGGGTTTCCAAGGCTGTCAGTCTTTACAGAAGCAGACTGTCACGTCTTTCTCCCACAGTGGCTACTGGTTTTGAATCACCAATTTTTTGGTTAGCAGCTGAGTACTTTAAGCACTGTACCACCAGGGTCCCCTATTTTCTAGCATACCTCTAGATAGAATTTTCAATGTCCAAATAAAAACCCTGATTACCAGCATAACTCCCAATAAATCATATGACATTCTAATAAAAAATCCTAATGTCTAACAAAACAAATACAGTGCACTCCCAAGTTACAAATGAGACCCCCCATTCCTAAGTCGTCTTTAAGTCAGATCTGTAAGCAAGCCAAACAATTATAGTCGGCTCATTTAGCATCAGGCTCCAAGGTCTGTCTCAGTCCCTAGAGTGTATTTTACCTTTCTATGTGTGTAACACTTACGAGACACTTCTAGCTACACTAAGACATCTGAAACATGATACAGCATAGTAACACAGGAATAATAAATGTGCCTACAGTAATGAACTAGAGAGAGAATCTGTGAGAGTGTGCGTGGAGGGAGGGGGTACACAGTACTTTAAAAAAACTAAAACCCTTCAGACAGAAAAAAGGTCCATCAGCAACAGCCTAACGCTTTCCCAGGGATGGTGCGTCCCTCCCTCTCCGATCGCCTTATTTTTCTCGGTTTATTCTTGATCGTGGTCATCTTGCTTTCTTTGGTGCGTCATCAGCACTGGCATTGGATTTACACTTTGGAGGCACGGTTACAAGGGTAAATAAGAGAAAAATTCAAGCCAAACACCAAGTTACACATTCAACACAGTATTGACAACAATGTGATCTGAACTCAAAAGGGGTACTGTGTTCTCCTTCCTTGACCAACAAGCCATGAAGTCGGCAATGTAAACCTCAAAGAGTAGTGTGTGTGTGAGTTGTTATGAACCATAGGATTTAACTCTGATTTTTAATACACGAGGCATCATGGCAGTCCGTTCTGAAGTCTGAGCTGTCCAAAGGGTACATGGCTTCCTCTGGGGACTTCCTATAATTCCACACAAGGAGCTAAGGCGAAAATGAGTAACTGCACTGCGTTACATTTAAGATGGCGGATGACAAGTGTCCTTCCTGCACCCCAGCTCCCACTGGAAACAAGCAAGTTCATTGGAAAGAGTGTGTACAAAGCGAGGGCGGGGCTGCTGGCACTGGGAGACGCTGCCCGGTGTCAGCCCAGCAGGGACTGCAGGAGAGGGGGCAGTTGGCACAGGGAGACGCTGCCCGATGTGAGCCCAGAGGGGACTGCAGGAGA